ATATACACCTCTCGTCCAGTACCTGGCTCGGAGGCGTCGAACTTGGGGTTAGTCAACAGGTTGACCGAGAGTAATAGTCCCGAGGAGGTGGGGTGTTCACTCGTTCCTTATCCTCGAATTATTTCAAAGCAGGTTTTCAACGTATCATTAGCGCTAGCTTCGGCCATCGCTGCCAACGGCCCCCTCGGTGTTAGAGCGGCTAAGAGGACTATCCGCAAGAGGCTTGATGAAGTAGGCTTGCATCAGATCATCTGATTCAGATGTCCGGCGTCACTTGAGCCAGTAGCGATGTCGAATTCTCCTCAGGAGTTCCCTACGTGGTTGGAGGCAGCGAGCGCCGAGCGTGCACCTTTGACGTTTACGGAAGACCATCGAGCGGCACTGGATTGGTTCTCTGCGAAGAAGGCTCCACCAGCACCCTTCAAGGGGATGTGATTCATCCTCGTCGCTTACGGTCTTGTTCAGCATCTACGAGTCTGAAAGCCGTTACTGTGGTACGACAGTGCTGATGTCGATCCGAGTTTCCCGTCTCCAATATGGAAAAGATGGAAGGGATGTGCTCACTGGATGATAGAGATTTTTTCACAACTCGAACAACTTTCATTGTTCGTCATGGCTTTGTTATGGCATCTCAGTAGGGAGTGAACAATATTCACTTATTCACAATGGCATTGTTAGGGCGGGAAGAAACTGAACCCCCCCCCCCCCCCCCAAACTTACAGGCTTCAAACATGTTAGATCCGCCCATGTCAACATCAATATTGCCCTAGAGATGCTTGAGCGGTTTTGCATGATGATGAGATTCTTTATGACTAATGATATGACGATGTTATGATGACGCTGTAATAATTTCGGTTCATTCCCAGCACAGAGGGTCAATTAAGCCGCTGAGTGGAAGAACGTCTCTCTCAGCTTCTACTGTGGTATTCAATGCCTTGTCAAGAGACCCTGAGGGGCATGACTGCCGGACCCAGAGACTATCACCCCCCCCCCCCCCCCACGGCGGCTAGTTTGACTGGGTATCGATGGTCATCCCAGTCCAGTCTAACTGGTTTCCACTGGAAACTTTCGAGTGGTCGTCGATGCAACCGGGGGATTGATAACGATCCCGCTCGAATCCAAATCAGCTTCAATGGGGAGCGGGCCCACTGGAGGATCCACAATTACGTTGCTCCAGTCTATCTCACCAATGGTGGAGCCAGCAAGGATTACGATGTCACACTCACACGGTACATTCCTGGGGGAGAGTGACACTACTGAAATGCACAAGGATCGTTCGTACTACGAACTTCGTAGAAGGAATATTAGAGCGACGGTAAATGTTCGAGAATGCATTTTCATGCAGGTAGCTGATATCAATGGATCTGCATGGATGAGGCGCAACATTCTATCCGCACAGGTTTGTCCAGTATCTGGTTAGGCTGGGAGTGAGAACATCCAGGAAGATCAGAGGATGATGACATGAATCGTGGGTCCAATGTCCTTCAGAGACCCCAACGACTGCCATAGTAATCCGTCGCTGATCCGGGGAGATTGAGCAATCGTTAGCATACGTAAATATGGAATTATCTGCATATCCGACCCATTTGAGCGCCCGTTGACCCGCAATGGCCACATAGTAAGGTAGTGTACCATTGTACCGTAGTACGGTAACCGTGCGTACGGAGTTTTGCGCTTAAAGATTAAAACACTGCTGAACTTCTAAGCCTGATGAACTCTACTACATACTCGAGTAAGAGACATCATTGCCTAACAAGGACTCATGGAGAAAAATATTCAGCAGGTTAAGCATTGCGAGTTATCAAGAGTTCCATGGCATCATGTAAGTAGCGATTAGCAGAAAGCTGGAAACTCATCCGAGTACAAACATAGTATGACATTGTGAACGTTCTGAAAAGCATGTGGAAGAGCTGTCTCCCTGACGAGCTCTTTCGACTCTTGGAGCACCTCCCGTAGCGCAAAGACCTGTGGTGAGTGAGAAGACGAATATTTTCCACTGGAAAATTTCCAGTTTCGTACCGATCCAGCGAACGGCACATAATTCGCAGGTGGTGGAGGTGGTGGTGGTGGATTATCCTGAAAAGTTGAAAGCCGGGCAATGGATACGAATGTTATATGAGTGTCACGTTAAGTCACATGCATCAATAGATCTTGAACTTACTTGTATGTCATTGTGCCCCTGCTGATTGTCACCCCTCTGATTATTCTGTCGCCGCTGCTCACCATTATACCTATAAAGAATAAGTACCACGAACAACCTCACAGTTAGCCTCGAAATCCAAAACTAGGCTTCTACTTCATGCGATCACAATCCTGTTGCTGCTGGTCGGTCAGGCCTGTTGGTATAAGTTTGACAAGGTGATACTTGGGGGGCGGGGGACAGAGTCTTCAAGGGCAGAAGACTTCTTCCAGATGGTAAGGCTCTAACCTTCGGATCGGTTCATGAAATCAACCAGCTGCTCAGTGATGTCGGCGTAGCTGATAGAGTCGATATCAGCAACAGGCATCTGAAAAGAATGAACTTAGTCAAGATAAGATCAATTGAGCACACCATTCTCGCCCTTTGTGAAGCAAATGGCAAGGATTATCCTTGAAGGATAAGCGTGTTGATGTGATTTCGAATTGGATACCATCCAAGGGACTGCCATCCTCCACCTCGGCCTCCAAGTTGGAGGCTCCAACAACAACGTCGATGCCCAATGATTACGACGCGGCGCACCAGTGCAACCGCAGGCTTTCTCACCAGGTTGACCGTCAACCGTTGACGAGCATCACAATGGACACCACCACAGCTATTGCCAGATACACCACTACGTAAGATGAAGATCGAAACGGAGTGGTAGATGGCGAAACCGTACGTAGTAGTAGATTCAGTGAAGAGGGGCCGTGGTGGTTGTAGGGGGAGGGCTAGGGGTACAAGAGGATCCCGACTACAGAGAATACAGGTCCTGTCGACCGATATAAACCCACTTCCTTCGGGTTGAATGAATCCGAGGAGATCTCCGTAACTTAAGGGATTTTTCAGCAACAAGGTGGTATCGGTACTAATACGACTAATACAACAAAAAACATTGCCGGTTGCAGCACACGCCAGCAATACAAACCTATCATAACTATACTCTACACCATACCGTTTGCTGTCATTGGAGCGACTAGTCGGCCTCGTGACACGCACCTTGCTACCACCATAACTCTTCATGTGGAGAAAGTACACTAACATCTTTCTCCGTTTGCACTTTCGGCCCATACACTCTTCGGGAACATCGAAGATGTCGATGTTAGGCATGGCCATCGCTTGTTCGATGACCAAGAGTGGATCACTGTGTAATAGTGCCATTTGCCTGAGATATGTAGAATGTTGTACATATTGCTGATGCACACGAGCCATCAGCATAGTCATCGGTAATGACTATGTCCGACATGTAAACACGTGCTCGCATTCAATGCGAGCACAATTTAGGGGATTGTGGAACGACATCACTGTTAGGGGGGGAAATGTTAGGGCGGGAAGAAACTGAACCCCCCCCCCAAACTTACAGGCTTCAAACATGTTAGATCCGCCCATGTCAACATCAATATTGCCTTAGAGATGCTTGAGCGGTTTTGCATGATGATGAGATTCTTTATGACTAATGATATGACGATGTTATGATGACGCTGTAATAATTTCGGTTCATTCCCAGCACAGAGGGTCAATTAAGCCGCTGAGTGGAAGAACGTCTCTCTCAGCTTCTACTGTGGTATTCAATGCCTTGTCAAGAGACCCTGAGGGGCATGACTGCCGGACCCAGAGACTATCACCCTCCCCCCACGGCGGCTAGTTTGACTGGGTATCGATGGTCATCCCAGTCCAGTCTAACTGGTTTCCACTGGAAACTTTCGAGTGGTCGTCGATGCAACCGGGGGATTGATAACGATCCCGCTCGAATCCAAATCAGCTTCAATGGGGAGCGGGCCCACTGGAGGATCCAGAATTACGTTGCTCCAGTCTATCTCACCAATGGTGGAGCCAGCAAGGATTACGATGTCACACTCACACGGTACATTCCTGGGGGAGAGTGACACTACTGAAATGCACAAGGATCGTTCGTACTACGAACTTCGTAGAAGGAATATTAGAGCGACGGTAAATGTTCGAGAATGCATTTTCATGCAGGTAGCTGATATCAATGGATCTGCATGGATGAGGCTGATAGGATTAACGAGGGTTATCGAAACACAACTCGAACTTGAGCCAAGATGGCTACGGACTTCTCGACACTTAGCAAGAACAGATTGCACCGAACTCGCATGTTCGGTTCTAGCTAAAGCATCCGTACGCACGCGCAAGGCCCGTGACAATACCGGTGTCACGCAGGCTGTCCAAAGTCTACCATACTATAAACTTGAAGGTTATAAACTTAAAACGATAATACTCGGTGAAAAAGAGCAAAGCTCATAACACCGATCTATGTTCACAGGCCCAGAAATCAAGAGTCTCGATCTCACCGGGCTCATCATCCCATTCAACGTCAACCCGACCCGAGGCACGCATATCACGCACTGTACCCTTGAACCATCGGCGCACAGGTCGTCGCCGTTGAGGATAAACTACATCATACAGGACTCTAAATCTCATATCAATCAAACTCGGCAACTCGTAGATAATCGGATCAGACGATGATGAGTCAGTCCCATCACGCCCCCCTTGGCGCCCAGGGGATAACGATGGAGAGGGAGAACCAGAAGTATCAGACCGGCGCCACATAACGTCGGATAAACATATAGACTCCGGTGAATCATCGTCCTCAAACTGGATCCAAACATGACCTGGACCACGGGGATCATAGGTAATAACTCCACGACGCCAGGAAGACTGCCGGAAAACCTCGATCCCCATGCCAATGCGAGACACGGACGGAACAGAATCCTCTACCTGAGGATGGGGTACAAGTAGAACCACGTTGTAGGTGTTCTCGGTAGTTAGCAGACCCGATGGAAACCGGACACGCACCCGGCGGTCTGATAGACGCCGGACGACGTGTCCTAAACGGAACGTCATGCCCAACTTCCTTCCGGACATATGTACCAGCACACTGTCACCCGGGCGGAGAGTGACAGTCTCATGAGACGAGGAAGCGCACTTTGAGGTAGCAGACTCGACAGACTTTTTCTTGAGCTCTGACCATAACCAAGAGATGAAACAGTTTCGAAAGGCCCGAATCCTTTGACGAGCAAGGGAGGGAACCGCATCCTCTGCCGCCCAGGCCACGCACGCTCGGTTATCGGAGAGAATTACCACACCCGTGGGTAAACGACACGAATCAGAACCACCCCTATGGTGAGTGAACAGATGTTCCAGGACATTAGCAAGCACCCTCAATCCTGCTAGTAGGGCCATAAGCTCACGCCGATTAGAATGGTACAGACGCTGAGAAGCCGACCAACGGAAGGCA